GGTTCCTCTCGCACAGGTGTTTGTGGCCAATCCCAACAAGACACAGCCCATCCTGGACATCCTGCTCAAGAACCAGACCAAGCTCATCGAGTTCCTCAGCAAGTTCCAGAACGACCGGACCGAGGACGAGCAGTTCAACGATGAGAAGACCTATTTAGTTAAACAGATCAGAGATTTGAAGAGACCAGCACAGCAAGAAGCCTAATTTCCAATAAACACCTACAATATTAAACCCAAATTCAGCATTTGCTGTTAGCTATTCAGCATCAGGCACTCTTATCGATTCATGAGGAACATTACTGCTAATCTGCTGTTAAGTGAACGGTTTTCATTTTACCTTTTTGTTTTTCAGTCCAGGTTGGAGAACGTAGCTGCTGCTGCCTGCACGCTAGCGCACATGTGGGCTTTTTTCCCTTGATCTTTGTGTCATTCAGAATTCAAAGACTCTGTTTACTACAGGAGTTGTGAACATGGCTGTGTTCATGAGGGCAGATGTATGGATGAGAATGGCATCGGGAAGAGGGCATCGCTATTACCAGCCAACCCCGTGTGTCTGCATTGCTCCTCCGTGAAGATGGGCGTGGGGGGTGGCGCTCGCCTGGCACCCTTGCCACCCACCATCCGCCTTCGCTAAGGGAGCTGGCACGTGCAGAGCATTTTGGAGATCAGAGGGATCTGTGTCCACGATGTGAGCTTGGGGGAGGATAAAGTTGACGTGCAAATAAATTGATACTGAAACAGCAACTTCTCCAGAGTGTGAAGCTTCATAAGGTCATAAGGAAAAAAAATGTATATATGCTTTTCACAGCTTTCTAGAACTTTCTGACATTTGATTTTCTTGAGACTTGTAAACCTGGATATGTTGAAGGGTATATGTTCATTTTACTTTTTTGAAGGTATTTTAAAACAGTAGAACTAGCAACGACACCCTGCATTTCATTTCAACACTGCTTACAGGTTTCTTTTGTATATAATTCCTAGAGTGCTCATTTCTTCTTTTAAAATGGTTTAATTTGTACAGCAGAGGAATGTTATTGTAGCAGTATGTAACTATACCTAATACTGGGGTTTTGCAAAAAAAATGAATGCTCATATGTAATTGAAATACTTCAGATCACATGAAAATGCTGATTCAACATTTAAGGATCAACCACATTAAAAGAAAAAAGTAAATCAATCGTTTGTATTCAGTTACCAATGGGTTCCATCGGCAGGCTGGAATGACAGACCTGAAACTCAGTTTGCTCCACTTTCCTGCCTAATACTGGCCTTATTTGTTTAAAAATGAGTCATAAGTTTGCCAGATCTATGAATACCAATTATGCTAAATTAATGCTGATTATTTGTGTGGGGCTGGGGTGGGGGGAGCGGGATCTCTACAGAGCACCCTTTCTTTCTTAGAGTAAGTAATCCAGTACAATAGTTGTGAAACTGAATCATTAAACCTTTGGCTTCTCTTAGGAAAAGAAGAGCTCCTTGTCATAGGTGTCCTATGGGGAAATTTATTTTTTTTAATGTCCTATTCCTTAATGCTGCAAATTATCAGTATTTATAAAGTAACTGATTTTGCACCACATTTTTGTGACTGTAACCACAGCAGAACAATGTTCCCTAGACACTTATCATTCTGTCTCTTAGAATGGTACCTGTTCATCTCAGTGACAAGCTGGTCATAATTAACAACTTAACAATCAGAATTTGCCAGGTCCAATTCAGCATGGCTGTAGCTGGGTGAAAAATTTCTGTAATCACTCTTTGCTAGTCTCTCTTACTAATTGCATTATTTATCGGCCAGTAAAATGAGCCTCCCAGTTGTTTTAAAGCAGGTTTTAAAGGTCTCCTTCGAGGAACACAAGTTAGAAAAACCACCCCAGAAAATACACATATATCTGATTCTATTAAATTTAAATGGCGGTCTATAGTCATAGGCTTTCTCAAGACTGTCTGTATAAGAAATGATGTGAAATAACTCACATTCTCTACTGGTCTCCCAGAAAGAGAATCTCTGAGCTGCATCGGAAGGCAGACTCGGCCGTGATGAGAGTTCCAGTTCTGGGCAAGGGCCATGTGATTCAGTTCCCCAGAAGATCACAAGGAGGAAGTGCGCCCAAACCTGCTTCCACTTGAGCACCTCTGGGCTCTTCGTGGGAGATAGTGGGGCGCAGGGAGCCCAAGAAAACATCCTTGTGTTTCTAACATGTTAGAAGCTGACCACACTTAGGACTTTTGTGCTTTTTGTTCTTGAAACGTTGAAAAGTTGCATTTGAAGTTAGGATCATTTAATATATTCATATTACCAAAAAGTATAATTATACTGGGAGTGGTTTCTTTTTGTGTTATAAAGGTTTAATTTTACTTACGTCAGTTACTTAATGTGATTTTTTTAACCCTTCCTTGAAAAACAAAAAGTGGAGATGTATACAGTTGTTAACTATGCCATGGAAGCATTTCCCTTCTCCTGAGGAAAAGTGACTTTCTTATCAGAATATCTGGCTGGCCCTGTAATTTAAATTAAAATAAAATTTTGGAGAAACAGCCTTGTCCATTTTTCTGATGTCACGTAGACAGCTGCATTTCTGCCATTGTGAAGGGCCTGGGCAGGTGACGCGGGCACACCCTGCCTTCATCTCCCCTGGTCAAAATGACATGCACTGCTAGGTTACTTGTTCTCCCCTGCTCCGTGGCCTGTGTGGTTTCATGTCTCATATTCTGCAGACCCAGGGCTTTAGGGAGTAGGCCCTCTCTTTGGCTCCTTGGTCCTTTACAATTAACACAGGAAGATGATGAGCCGCTGCAATGCCAAGACCATGCAGAAGAGGCGGGTGTGGACACCAGGCAGTAGGCGGCACCTGAGAAGCTGAGCTGGTCTCGGGATTCGGCAAGACACCTCAGCTGAGCACAGCCCTCCTCAGCCCTCACCTGCAGGGAGGGCAGGCTCTGCCCAGAGACTGCTTCTGAGTGACAGCCTCCTCCTGTGGCTTTCATGTCTCCTTGGTGGTTCTGGCCACTGAGGTGGGACTTGCGCCTGGGCTGATTCTAAGGGTGGCCATGCCCACAGGAATTCGGGCAAGGTGCACATCCGCTTGATGTGCCCTTCTGCTACAAAGTCCCGCACCTTGAGCCTCGGGCTGCACAGGGATTGTGTGATTCACTCCCTGCCATCCTAGCTTGTAAGGACCACACATGACCGAGCGCACAGGCTGCTCCGTGTGCTGTGTTCAGGGCATGGGAAATCTCACAAGTGCCAGCGAGATGCCTTAGAAGAAGAGGCCAGCCTGGACGCGGCCCTGGGTTCTTGCACTGAAGATGTTTTGCTGTTTCTGTGTCTGCCCTATAGCATCTTTCTGAGCCTCATGCTGTCTCTAACCACCTAGTGTCCCAGGTCAGAAGGCAGCAAGAAGATTCTCCCCACAAGACATGAGAAGCCTGCCAGCCCCCAGAATCAACCTTACAGAAAGAACTCAAAAGCCAGCAGGGTCAGTCCCACTTTTCACCTTTCCTTGTTTGCTCCTGCTAAGCCAGCCTGCTTACCCAAGCACCTGGGGCCCAAAAATGCCCTAAGCACCGAAGTATGGGTCCTCCAGGGAGCTGGCTCCCAGCGTGCATGCTGCCCAATGCTTGCACAAGACCGTGCCGTTCTGCAATTGTGAATGATGTTGTGTGTGAGCCTACAGTGAGCTGTGTGGTCTGTGGCTGCCCCGCCCCCAGGCCTGGACCAATCCCTGGGGAGGTAAATCTCCAAAGACAATGACCAGCAGGGTTCTATGCAAGAAATTTCATCCTCTGCAATTTACTCGGTTTTGTGGGAGTTTTTTTCCCCTGTTGTACTGGAGATTGGGCTCAGGGATGCAAAGCCCACGACTGTGGTAAATGCTTTTTCCTGCAATCTGCCTAAGAGCAATCTAGGGAAGCTGTGCATGTTTTTTCCTGGGTTTTACACAAGGTTCACCAGTGGTTTTACAGAATCTATGATTCTAAGTAATGTTTCTCATGCCGATCTCAATGTTCCAAGGAAATAACTCAGGTTGGCTCTAGAATGCAGCAGCTCGGGCTCTCACTTGGCTGGAATGCACAGGGGGACAGGGGTAGGCCAGCTGGGGAGGCTTCATGCAGAGAGAAGCCTCTAGGAGTTGCCCCCGAGTGTCTCTCAGGTGGGCTGGAGCTTAAAGGCCTGGCCCTACCGGGCCTGAACCACCCCGAGCAGCAGTGCCTTCTCCTCCATCCGTGCAGGAGATCTAGCACCCCGTCTTATAAAGTCCTCAGCCACGTGGAGAAAGCGAGATGAGGGTCAAGCAGTCCACAGCCCACCTGACGCGCCACCCAGGGAGGTGGGCACGGGAGTGGGATTGATGCCAGCCTCCGGCACGCAGGCACACAGGACACCACCTGTCACCCACTTGTGCCTGTCCTGAGTGTCTGCTACTGCCTCGATGCCCTTCCCTGGACCCGGCACCTTCTGGAGACCCGCAGTGCTCCAGGGCTGAGCTCTGACGAGCACTGATGCATTCGCACCAGCGCATCCTCGGATCAAGGACCAAACCATGCTTCGCCTGGAGCGCCTTGCCGTTCCCAAGCCCGAGTCGCAGCTGAGACCCGCGCAGGGCCCTGGCAAAACAAACTCCCGATCCTCCCACTGCCCCCTCGCAAAAATGAGGCCTTTTTAAAAGAACAGGCTGAGCCCCACGAATTCACCACGACAGGTTGAAGCCCACGTGATTAAGGTCCAAGTAGAGAGGTGAGAGGCCCAGTCCATCCACCAGCCTCCCTGCACCTCCCCTGCTTCTCCACGAGGGGGCAGTGCGGCGCCCCAGTTCCGACCTGTGAGGCTCCCGCACTCTGGGGCAGGAGAAACAGGAAAGGGCCCCAGGGCCTGAGTGGTGTCTTGTCCTGTGCTGTCACCCCGCTTTGAGAGACGGTTTGCAGCCAAGAGGAGGGCGTGGGATAGCAAGGTTATAAAAAGAGGTCGAGACAGAAGACAGAATGTGAAGAGAATTGTGGTGGGGGGCGTGACTGGCTTGTGAATAAACTGGGGAAGAGTTGAGGGGGCAGCTGGTAGCGAGCAATCCCTGGACGTCCCACTCTGCTTCCTCTAGAATCTTCCATTGGTGTCGTCGTACCTTGGTGCTTCGTGCAGTGCAGTTGGTGGACCGATGTCACCGCACAGGCACTAACTGGTCCATTCTCTTCCGATCTGTCCCGCCCTTCCCCGATTCTTCATGGCAGATTTGACCAGGATAGTTGGGTGTTCTCCCTGGCTGGAGATCTGACTGGCTTTCTCCCGATGACGATGAGGTGGCAGGTGCGGAAGGCCAGGCAATCCTGGCGCCTTTACCCTCACAGCCCAGCCAGGTGCACGGTGCCCACACAGGGTTCTGCTGACACCACCCCTGTGCACAGCTCGCACCGCAGCGAGTCAGGAAAATGGAGCCACTGCCTAACTGTCTAGGCACCCACTCTATGGGTTTTCCCTGTAAAATGATGATTTTCTTCTTTTCACACAGGGCTGATGTGCTACCATGTGTGCCTCTAGCTCTTCTTCTTTTGTCTCTCTTTTATTTGACACTACTGGGATTTTGATCTCAGGGCCTTGTGTTTGCCAGGCAGACTCGCTATCATCCGAGCCATGCCACCAGCCCTATTCACTTTCATTTTTTAAATCGAGTCTTGCTGCGGCCTAGATTGGCCTGGCCAGTGATCCTCCCATGTAGGCATCCTAAGTAGCTGGGATGACAGGTGCGTGTGCTCAGCGATCAATTTTCTGTAGCCTTGAAATGTCTCATGATGAAGAAACTAAACTAGCCATGATGGTGTAATTGTGGAATGTTCCTCACAGGCTGCTGTACCCTTTGGGAGGTGGTAAAAGCTTTAGAAGGTGGGGTCCAGTTAGAGGAAGTAGCCGCTGTGGGGGGAGGGGAGCACCCTGGTTCCCGTGTTTGCTCTCCCCACTCCGTGTCCATGAGCGGTGAGCACCCGCCCCCACACATTCCTACCACCAGCATGCTCCGTCCAACACACAGGGCCACGTGGCCACAGGCAGAACCCTAAAACGGTGAGCCAAAGTGAAGCCTCCTCACCAAACTCTGTCAGGCAGTCGGTCAAATCCAGAAGAAAAGTCCATGGCTCAGGTGGCTCTAATCATGGCTGATGATAGGAGCTGCTAT